CAAACAACAACAACATCATGTTGTTGCTACTGAGAAAGACCCTAAAAAAGATAGTTTGACACAGTGACTAGGCAAGGCTGGAGCATGGCAGAAAAGCAACTTATGACCCAGGATATGGCAAGATTAAGGTCTGTTGTTCATAGGAGAAATGTGGCTCAGCATTGACTTGATGGTACCTAACAATATTATTATTATTATTATTATTATTATTATTATTATTATTATTGTTATAGCTGAGGCTAAACTAAGGGTCCTTGGGTGAGGGGCCCTCATACTTCCATGTGAGTCTCAGAAGATCAAAATGATGGGGTATGTAGGTGGGCACAGGATGGGAGGACATAGACTGACACAGAGAACATAAGTTCCAAGATTTAGTCTAGAGACTAAAGTGCACCTGCTGACGCAGGCCATGATGCATCAGAGAGCTGGAAAATGACTAAAGATGATAGAGGAAGACTCTGCCCTTTTGAGATGTAGTGGTGCAGAGTTGGAGTGCACATACCATGAACTGACAAGAGAAAAAACAGCTTTGTCCTTAAGACGGTGAAACTGGGTTGCTCCTTGGAGGCAAGGATTTTGGAGCTCTGCTTCACATACTTTAGGTTTGTGGCCAAGAGGGACCAGTCCTTGAAGAAGGACACCATTCTTGGAAAGGTGGAGGGACAGACCAGGAGAAAATGACCTTAAGGAGATAGATTGATACAGTAACTGGGGAAATGGGGGTAGGTATATCAGAGACAGTGAGTGTGGCTCAGGATAGCACAGAGTTCAGAGCTATGGTGCATAGGGTCTCTGTGAGTCTCAGGCAATTGGATGGTACATAACAATAACAAGATTCAGTGTAGCTGAATGAGGCAAGAAAAACCCTGCTGCTGGGGAATGAGACTTACTGATGATTCTTTCCGGAAACAATCAACTGTGGAAAATTATAACCTTGGATAGTTTAAATAATTAATATGCAGGTACCAACAAAAATGGTGAAGATTTGCATTCTCCCAGATGCACCTTGTGATAAACGCAGCTGATTTTCTTCCCCAAAATTGATCACTGAGAACTCTGTAGGGCACAGTTCTATTCTGACCACACAACCCGGGATGTCCAACAAGCTAGAAACCCCTTGATGCAACTAGAAGGAGATTTGTCAAATGGTAATCATGCTTTGGTTCTGTGTAAATTAATGAGTTACAATTCTGCTGTGAGAAAAAAACTTCACATTTCATTCAGTCATTTATGTAAGTATGGGCTCACAGATTCCTGTTTTAAATCCATTCCTACCACCACCATTATCTTGTTGCTCAAATTGTCCCACAAAGTCAAAGTCACAGAGTCATCAACGCCTTTTAATTGTGGCGTTGGAGGAGAGTACCGCCAAAAGAACAAACAAATCTATCTGGGAGGAAGTGCAATCAAGTTGCTTCTTAGAAACAAAGATGGTGAAACTCTTATCTCACACACTTCAGGCATGCTGAAAAGAGGGACTAGTCATTGGAAAAGGACAGCATACTGGGAAAGGATGATAGTCAGAGAAATAGAGGAAGACCCTCAATGAGATGGATTGACTAACAGTGGACTTGAACAAGCCAGAAATCCTGGGGTTAGGGCATGATAGAGCCAGGCAACAATGTATTATTCATTAGGTTGCTGTAAGTCATAGTCGATTTGACAGCATCTAACAACCACATCTAACAAAGAACTTAGAGGTGCTACAGTCAGAACATGTGGCTGCAGTTGAAAGGGCAGCAGCTCTGTGGGAGAAGGTGAGGCCCCGCTGCTGTGAACATGTTCAGCCTCAGAAGCCACCTAGAGGGTCTCTGGGAGTCTGGAGTAGCTGGATTGTTTTGTCTCCCTCAAGTGTAAGTTAGCGTCAAAGAAAGATCAGTTAACAAATTGGCATGTTTTGTTGAAAGTTTAACTAAAAGTGGTCGCCACCCCTCCATTAGCTAATAGTTTTAGCAGCATTGAGAGAAGTGGTTGAATGCAGTGGTGCATCTTCTTCTGCTGGGTGGTGGTGCCCTGGCTTCAGTGTGGGTTCCAAGGAGGGCATGTCCAAGTTGGTGACAGTGGACAGGGTAGGGATCTGAGACCGCTGCTGTGCAACCTGGGGATGTGTATGTTAGGAGAGCATTGGGTGGTTGGTCCTTTTCCAGAGAAGAACTAGTGCTATATTTGTCTTTCTCTCCTAGGTCCCAGGCCTCCACTGACTAAATCAAGCATTGTCACCTGCCTGCCAGAGACAACTTATATATATCCTGATTTGCCTATCAATCGGTATAAGGACGAGGTAAAACCATTTTTGTCACTGTAATTTTGCCATTAGAGTAAGTGTCTAGGGCTCACTCTTCAGGTTTTGACGCAGAAGCTTTGTGGGGCCCTGTGTTGGACAGGGCAGGGGCCACGTAGAGGAGTATCTGCAGCCACACCAGGCCTTTGTCCTTTGACCTGTCACTGTCAATTGTGCTGCTTCCACCCGAGGGTGTCTCCTCATGTTGAGTGTGTTACCAAGCCTTTCCCCATCTCCTGGAATGTCTGCAAATCCACACTTGCTCTTCCCCAGAGAGTGGCTTATTTAAAACACTCATTGCCAGCTCTGTAAACAGCTAACACTTCCCAGCTTGCAGCCCCCTGGTACACTTGCGCAGAGGCTTTTTTTGGTCTCTGATGAAGCAGTTTGATGTATCATCTTATTAACAATGCCAGCCAGATTTATCAACAGGCTGGTTATGCCTCTAATGAATTGTATGCTATTAAATGTGCTTAAAATAAGTATATTAAAACTATTAACTCTCTCAGTGGGAAAAAACCAGCTGTAGATAGAAAAAACTATAAATGTTCCAGAATTACATTTTATTTAGACTGGATCATACTGTGTGTGGTGTCGATGTAGCTAATGTTTTAGAGATCAATATTTAATTTAGAACATCTTCCCTGACACGTCACTTGCTCAAGGATAGAGGCGTATGAGCGAGCTCAGAGTGGAGTTAGGAGAGAGGAAGGAGAGGCAGAACGGAGCTCTCAGAGGCTGGCTGACGCTGCTTAAATCGTGGGGTGTGTTTCCAGCCATACACACTGAGCCGTAGCCTGAGCCCTCGAAGGCGGCTGGGGTCCCTCAGCGTTCATAGACCGAGCAGTTGAGCTGCAGTACCTGCTTCCTCCTGGATCGCTCCTGCCGCTCTGCAGTTGGGGCTTGTGTGACAGGCAGGCGCCACATCCGTCATGTCTGCCCTTGTGATGTGTAGATGCTCAGTAGTCAGTCAGCTTCCAGAATGCAAAGGAAACACTGTCATCCCAACATAAAGCTTTTCTATCTCGGTGGCCCTACCTGCTCTTGCTGGGTTTGTGGTGATTATGAAACACAGCTTTTTCTCTATTCCTAGGTTCTTTCTCTGATAGAAAGTAATTCTGTGGTGATCGTCCACGGTGCCACAGGCAGTGGTAAAAGCACGCAGCTCCCGCAGTACCTCCTGGACCACTGTGTCCAGCACTCCACTTACTGCAACATTGTGGTGACGCAGCCCCGGAAAATCGGGGCCAGCAGCATCGCCAGGTGGCTCAGCAGGGAGCGCTCCTGGACACTGGGTGGCGTGGTGGGCTACCAGGTAAGGCCCCGCAGTCACCTGATGGACAGGAGGGGGGCTGACCATCAGCTGTTTCCTGGTAGAAATGAAAAAGCACTTAGTACAAACCAGAATTATGGCGTCATTTAAAAAAATTACAAAATACCTTTTTCTTTTTTTTTTTAAATTTGTATCTTTTTCAGTCAGGCTCGTGACTTTTAGCCTTGTAGGTACATCTTTGTGTTCTAAAAAATGTGCTTGTGCGCAGCTGTTCTGAGGGGATACTGAGACAGTCTGACCACCCTGTGCCATCGAGTGGATTCTGACTCATGATGACCCTCTGTGGGTCTCAAAAGTTTTACATATTTATGGTGGAAATGTCCCGCCTTTCTCATGAAGAATGGTTGGTGGATTTGAACTGCTGACCTCTTAATTAATTATCAGCCTCACATGTAATGTTCTCTGCCACCAGGGCTCCTTGCAATGCGCCCAGGTAAGCCGAATCATCTCCATGCCTCCAGTCAGTGAGAAACAGCACCAGGAGAACATCAGCTTTAATTCGGACCCTGTGGGGTTTTTAAAATATACTTACCACAGGTCTTTATTCCACTTCTTTCCTCCACTATAAATGAGCCGTGTCCATCTGCAGACTTTCCCCTTCTCCTCTGTGATTTTAGGTCAGCTTAGAAAAGGTAGCCACGGAAGACACCAGGTTGCTTTACGTGACCACTGGCGTGCTGCTTCAGAAGGTCGTCAGTGCCAGGAGTTTGGTGGAATTCACGCACATATTCATCGATGAGGTCAGTGCTCTGCCTGGGTCTCTCTTCTGCGAGTACACAGTGCAGGCACCCACCTGGAGCTGCCGCTTCTCCTCAGAGATGCTGAGCTCCTTTCTTCGTGGTTGTTGCTTCTGAAATTCTGGGGGGAATGCTGAAGCCCAAGAGAAGGTTCGCAGTGGCAGCAGGTTCCACGCTTGTCTTTATAAACAAGATTTCCTTTAACTCACGCCACCTGCTCACTTGTATACGTTTATGACTGATTTTGCATTCTGGTGGCAGAGTTGAGTAGTTGTGATGCAGACTGTGTGTTCAGCAGAACTGGAGAACGTAGGTGGGCGTGTCCGGTCCAGCTGGAGCCCCGACTGGCTGTTAGTTGAGCGTACAGTTGTTTCATCTAGTGCAGATCCAGGACAGCAGTGTCCCTGGAAATAACACATGGCATAGCCACCCCCATCCTCACCTAGCCTTGCCTGCATTTGTCTTAAAGGTCACCCAGTCTCTCTGACAGGTGTTGTGTCCTCTCTGCAAGCGCTGCCCTCAGCTGGGCAGTGAGAGCCAACAGAGAGCTGTCTGTCCACACGCCCAGCTGGCACCAAGGAGACTCAGGCACATCCTCCCTGAGTGACTGAACAGCTTGGAACCACCCATACTTCAGGGTTTACGAGCAGTGCTCACCTTCTGTGGAATCACTTCAGTTGTGTGAGAGCCAGGTAGAGGACTGTGTATGTGAATGTTTGCAAAGTAGTGCATGGGCACATGTTTAAAAACGGGATGATTTGGTTCTGAGAGCCCAAGAAGGAGAACACCGAGTTCCCGGCAAGTCTTTTGTTCAGTAACATTGGAAAGGATGGAGTGGTGATTGCTGGGGGAGGCAGATGGCTGCTGATTTGTATCTGTGTGTGGAGAGGCCAGTGTAGGCACTCGGGGTCCTTGAAGGCTGAGGAGGAACTGGGACTCCCTAGGGCGATGTCCCTGATGACAGGGAGCCTGCCTTCTTCCCTCTCAGGTGTGAGACAGGAATGCGGGGGTGTCTGCAGTCTTATGACAGTGAGATAGGAATTAGATCTCCAGCCCTTGGTATGTGGATGGAAAGTCCCTCCAGGGTCTCATTTCCCTGCTTCTCTCGCACTGGTCTACTCTGATTCTTGGGAAGAGAGGAAGCTGTGAGGAAGGTAGTGAGAATGTTCCAGGAGAGACCTTGAGAAGGGGTGGAGACCCCAGGAGGGGCGGAGACCTCAGGAGGAGCGGAGAGTGCCTTCTCTCCAGCTTGGTGGCTTGTCTTGCCCCTCAGGTAGAGGTGTCCTGGGGCCAAGTTACTGTCCCCTGGTGGTGAGGATGGCACAGGATAGGATAGGCTTCAGATCTGCTCTTCAGAGGGTCGCTAGAGTCGTACTACACCTGACAGCACCCGACAACACCTGACAGCACGGGACGGCAGTGAGGACGAGCCATCAGGAGATGACCTTGGTTCTGTGGGAGTTAGTTTGGCTTTGGTGCCGTGAGATCTCCTGACTCAGGTCGAGTCACGAGGCTCTTGGGGAGAGCACTCTCATGTCACTGTGTCCTGAGCTGAGTCTGGACTTGAGTGGCATTTGGCTGTTGACCTGGGTGGCTCAGCCTGGAGCCACTGTAGTTTATATGCGTGGATGTCACTGCCGTCACAGTCCTCACCACTAAGCCACTCTAGTCTGTGTGTTTGATTGGCTGTGGGTTTGAGGACTAACCCTTGAGACCAAGTTTTGCATCTGATATGTGCCTTCTGTGTGGGGGACACATGGCCACCCCTTTGCTGCCTGTGTAGTCGTGTGGCTTCAGGCCGTGCAGAGGTGGCGGTGCTGCAGGGTTGCCATGTACCCTTGGGCTTGGGCATGGCTGTCACATGACCTGCAGCACTGTTTGTGCAAAGTGGAATGGGCCAAGGATGACATAGGGCCCTAAAGAGACACCTCGTGGGCCCCAAGCTGGGCAGGCATTCATGTCCAGCTTGGTGAGCGGGGGGCCAACTCTTCCTCTCAGCAGGAGTGGGCTGTATTTGTGGAGTCCTGGAGGGGTCCCCACCTCTGCCCTCTCTGACGCCTTCTCCTTGCCCTCTAGGTGCATGAGCGAACTGAAGAAATGGACTTCTTGCTGTTGGTAGTTCGTAAACTTTTAAGGACAAATTCCCGTTTTGTGAAGGTAAATTTCATTACAAGCACAAAACAATTTCACGTTGAGAATTATTGTTTAGTTTTGTTTATCATTGTCTTAACAGACAAAGTTAAACCAGTGGCTTATAAAATTGGCTGTCGTGTGTGGTGATAGCTTACTAGGAAGGGTGAACATTCTCTTAACTGTCATGCAACACTTTTGGTTATGATGTTGCGTTGAATTCTAAAATCTTGAGGCTGCATAAAATGATGTCAGAATGCTTGACTGTAATAAAATACTGGGTAGTGGAGCATTGCTTTTGATTGAATGTGTACCACAGTTTTAAGGTAAGTGAATAAATTTGCAATCCTCTTTTTAAAACAGCACTAGATAAAGCTTGAGGTTAGTACACGCATTGCCATTTTACAGATGTAAATAACGGAAAGTTCATGAGATAGTAAGTGTTGTCCACTTCTCAGCTGTGCGCATGCAGAAATTCTCACTGCTGGACCTGTGGGCAGCACTTAACTCACATAACTTGGAGAACGTTGTCAGGAGAGGCCAGTCCTTGGGAAGACAGAGGCTCAGCAACGGAGACGAAGACTACCAGGGAGACAGAGTGATGTAGTGACTCCAACAGTGGGCGTGACGTGCCCAGGAGTGTGCTGATGGCACTGCAGCATTGGCCAGCAGCAGCACCTGAACACCAAGGATGACGTTCTGAAGTTGGCCGAAACTGCAAAGGCTTCAGAAGAGTAGCGCAAGCAGGACACACATGAACGTAGCCTTGCCATGCAGAGGTCTTTGGGAAATGGCTTTATCCAGGGTCGCAGCCACTAAGGAGTGTGTTGTACATAATGAGGCTGCCTTGAGAGTTGGTGTTCCTGGAAAGGCACTGGTTTCTGAACCGTGAAGGAGTTTGCCTTCAAATGTGTAATCCACGTATTTGATCAGGGGAACATTTCTTCCCTCCTGTCCCCAGGGTGGGACCCTTGAGCACATTGTGGCATATTCTTAATCTGGTGATACTGAGGAAGTGAAGCCTGCATGTCTGCAGTAGGTGAGGGAGGGAGGCTGGCTGTTGGCTGTCATTCTTTTGGAGTATTGTAGTTTTTTCCTTGATTGTCATTTGAAGACACTGATTTTCCCACTTGAAGGTGATGACTAGAGTGCACAAAGAGTTTAGAAGTAAAGAGTGTTAGAAACTCCTCCCACCCAGTTGGATGTGGTGGGGAAGATTGGAGACCAGTTGTGAAAGTAGTTAAGAAATGATCATTCCATTTCAGCGTGTTCACAGTTTATTTAAAAGTACGCAAAACAGCATACTTGTTAAATACAGAAACTTTTGTGTTGCATGTAGTTAAACCAAGAAGTGAATAGGTCAACATTATAGATGTTTTTTGGGTTTTTTTTTTTTTGTTTTGAACCTTTAATGAGAAAAAATTTATATATACTATGGAGCTCAAGAACAATGCGTTTGGTGTGTCACTGGGTGCAGGGCTGAAGACATGACAAGGTCAACAGAGAATGGACAAACACAGTTACAATGAAAAGGGGGCCCGACACGGCAAAGTCTCGGTTTCCTCGTCATTTAGCAGCATGTTGGGGATCCCGCGGCTGATGGGGAAGAGATGTCCGGACTCTGGGCACTGCAGGGTGCCCTCCAACACGTCCACCTCTGGCAGCACGTGGTGCATCTTCCTTAAAACAGCCTCACTGTGCTCATATCCCTCAGCTGGCCCTTTGGGGACCTCGACCAGATGCAAGGTCTCGGCCGCCTCCAGAAGGGCCGCCCACTCCTCCTTGGGTATCATCCGCGCTACGCAGTCTGGGTAGAACTCCACCGGGTTGACATGGACCTCAGTGGCCTGCAGCCGCAGGGGGAAGCCACGGGGCCCCACCCCCTGCACGTGCGAGCTCAGCAAATTGTGGGTAAGGAGCTTCATGTTCCCACCGGAGCTCCAGCCAGACCGGAGCTGGAGGAAGGAGGCCGGTGCGCGAGTGCGTCTATAGATGGTTTTGTAAAAATATTTTAGCTGTCAAAAAGTTCTTCCTGTTTTTAAGAGAGCTGTGGTCAGGAGCTTGGCATGAGGGAGTGGACAGAGGGTGCTGTAAGTCCTTCCTCCTTTCCCCACTCCACCATCAGATGGGCCTTTGTCCCCCCCACCTAGCTTCCTCACTGGTCTCCTCCAGCCAGCCAGACTGGTCCAGGTGCTGTGCTTGGTTGGTTGGAACAGAAAGCTGAGGAGGCTGGAGGCCTGTGTGACCGTCACCCCTGCTGTGCTGATGAACCCTGGCAGGCAGACCCCATGCACCAGCAGTCGGACCAGAGGCCCCCAGCTCTGCTTTCCTTTCAGGGCAGTTCACTGATGGTCACTTGTACCCTGCAGCTCCTCAGCACATCCTCTTCCCTCAGACAGGGTGCATTGTTCTCGGTGACCCTCACCCAGGGTCCAGTATGAAGCCCTGCAGGCCTGGACCTCTGTCCTGCCGAGTGTGGACTACTGCGTCTCCAGATTTAGGCACAGCTTCTTTCTGGGCCCCGGGGCAGAGCCAGGGTTTTTCAGACCCCTTGCTTTCATTTCCTGCATGTTCATGCTTGGTTGTAGGAAGGTGCTCTAGTGGTGAGGAGCTGCGCTGCTAGCCCGAAGGCATGCAGTTCAAACCCATCAGCTGCTCTGCCGGAGAATGATGCATAGTGTCCTCCTTCCTCTCCTGTGCAATTTTCTGCCTCTGAAAACACTCTGGTGGGTCCGCTGTGGGTCACTTCCAGCTCAGCAGTGCACAGCACCAGCAGGGTTCGCTGATGAGTTAGTGCCACCTCCTGGCGGCCTCCTTTTCCTGCATCACAGCCTGAGTAACACGCTCTTTAAAATCCATCTCGGTTCAGATACTGGTGATTTCAGCGCACTCTTGGCATGTGTGGATTTACACATCTGATCATGTGGTTGCAGAGAAGCAGCAGAAGTGGGTCTTGCTCAGCATTCGGTGAAGTGCAGTGGTTTGTTATTTTATTAGAGAGCAAACCAAGGAATTCGCTAAACCTTCAGAAGTTACTAAATACAGAGTTGGAGCTGAAAATCGACTTTGGAATTGAGAATTAGTTTCACTCTCATGAAAGAAAATGTTGAGACTGTTCTGTTATTATCATTGGTCTGAGTGGATCTTGCTGTTTTGCAGGTCATCCTGATGTCTGCCACCATTAACTGTAAGGAGTTTGCAGACTACTTTGCTGTTCCTGTTCAAAACAGAATGAAGCCAGCCTACATTTTTGAAGTGGAAGGCAAGCCCCATGCAATTGAAGAGTATTACCTGAATGACCTGGAGCACATCCATCATGGCAGGGTGGGTCCGCGCCTCCAGTCCCACTGCTGCTCTAGTGCACACGTCACACGGGGGTGGCTTTCTCAAACCGGATTGCCCTCTCCCACGCCAGGAGACTGGAAATGTGAACGGAGTGCCAGCGTGCTCTCTGCTCTGGGGATGGTCCTCGTCTCTGCAGCTCAGTTCTCAGTCCTTGCAGATGATGTGGCATCCGTCTTCCTTTCTGTTAGCTTCACCTGCTCTTTTTGGTCTAAGTAAAGACTGACCCAGTATACACTCGACACTTATACCACCTCACTGTCGCAAGAGAGAAAACCCTTGCCCAGGTGGGATGAGCAGCATAGGCATGAGAGTTAGGTTTGGGGGGTACACATATTTTGGAGGTGTATAACTCTTGTAATAGTTATGTCTTACCTGCTACTACTATAGCAAAGATTATAGTTGGATGTGGTTACAATTTACCAGAGCTTATTTCAAAGTTTAAGAGGCTTAGGTCTGAATTCAGGGTGCTGGCCCAAGGGAAAAGGTCTTCGTCTGCTTTTGGGACGTCCATTGTCTCCTCAGCTTGTTCCCACACGTGCTGAAGATCACCAGGTCTTGCTGACTTGACTGTCTTTGCCATCTCTGCCACCTTTTAAATCTTGTCGAGAGGTTAACTCAAGACCACCCCTACAGTAATCCTGCGCCTCTGCACTAGCGAAGACCGTGCATTCACATGTGGGATTATAACCACGACTGGGAGCTTAGGATTCACAGCACATATTTTGGGGGATGACAGAAGATTCAGTGCCTTTGAGTTGCAGTGCTGGAGAAGAGTCTTGAACATACCATGGGCCACCGAGAAAACAAATGGGTCTGTCTTGGAGAGGATGAAACTGTGTTTCTCCTTGGAGGCTAGCATTTTGAAACTCTATCGCACATACTTTGGGTTCATGGCCAGGAGAGGACCAATTCTTAGAGAGGGATATCATGCTTGGAAGGGGGGAGGGACAGCACAGGAGAGGAAGACCCCAGATGAGATGGATTGTTACAGTAACTGGGGCATTGGGGGTAGGTGTATCAGAGTTAGACTGACTCAGGATAGGGCAGCATTCGGGGCTGTTGTACGCAGGGTTGCTGCGAGCTGCAGGTGACTTGATGGTACATAACAAAATAACTTTTTTATAATAAAAAAATTTAGAAAAAAAACCCCAAAACAACATTTTGGGGGACATGGTTCAGTGAGTCACAGTTGGGCCCCATTATTTCTTGATCAGCATGTGCACATTGTGTTTGTGGGTCCTGTCCTGTCCAGCAAGCTCCTCAACCCATAGTGGGAAACTACGGCTACTGATTTCTCCCGGACTTGGCCAGAAAGCATTTTGCCTATAAAAGCAAATATAAATAGGTTGATTTTTCTTTTTTTGGCAAATCTTGTGCTCACATTGCTTTGTCACTTACTTCCCCACATCTCCCTGTGTTAGTGTGTGGCTGCTTCATTCTCTGAATGCTGCCTGTCATTCCCTCACATGGGCATAACCAGCTGGGACTGTTGAACTAACCAGTCTGTACTTTTTAGCTGTAGTGCTGTAGAGGTAGCTTTCAGCACTGTGAAAAGTTTCACTTCCTCTCTGTGAACTGTTTCTTTTCCACATTAAAAAGTCTTCTGTAGACCAGGGTTCCTTAGCTGTGGTGCTTTTGACTCTGTGTCTGGGGGCTGCCTATGCACGGATCATACCATCCTTGGCTTCTACCCACAAATACTAGTAGTCCCTCTGTTTGCCATTCTGACATATCAGAAATGTCTTTGAACGTTGCCACAAAGTCTCATGCACATAAACAGCCCTCTCCAGGCTGATAATGGCTGTTTGAGCTACACTTTTCAAGAATGCTTGTTCTGTAAAACATTTTGACTATCGGTTCACAAATAAGATTGTATTATTTTACTTTATGATACTTCCCCCCCCCAGGCTCCACACTGTTGTGTTTTAATCATAGGGTACAAAGAGGGCCTGATAAGGGGATGGCTGCCAGCTTTGGACCCCTGTGGTGGGTGCGGCTGAACCTCCCGTGTGTACAGGCTCGCTGCCGCCCTGCTCTTCATGACTTCCTCAGCTCTGTGCTGCTGCATGGACAGGGTGAGACCTGGTGCCTGTGACATGCCTGCAGTGGTACTGCTGGGCCCATGGAGAGTGCTGCGACCTCCAGGAGCGATGTAGCTCCTGTCCGGGACGTGAGTCTGAGTGCAGGAGGGCATCCACTGTCCCACCACTGTCCCTCACGTCATCCCCTTTCTGTTTTTCAGCTTTCTCCTCATCTCCTGGAGGAACCTGTGATAACCAAGGACATGTACAAACTGGCCATCACTCTGATTCAGATGTTTGATGACTTAGACATCAAAGAGAGCGGGTAAGAAGCCCTGTACTGGGTCATGTGTGAGGACGTATTATGATGGAAAAAGCTTGGTCCTGATTTTGAAATGTTTTTAGTGTTTTCAGTAGTGACTATCTCAGTAATTGTTTTATTTAACAGTCAGGCTAGTGCTTTGTAAATTTTTTACCAACTGTTTCCATTGTGAAGTATTGAAAGCAGATTGAATGCAGTTCTAGGTCTGTTGAAAGCCTGGCCCTGTCACTGGTGAATGGACTCATTCTCTACATCTGCAGAAGCCGAGACTCCACGAGTCGGAGGGAGATGTACTCTCTTACCAAAAACCCTGTCATCTGTTTTCTTTATTAGGAAGATATATTCTGAACTCTGAGCAGTTTCCTGTATAATCTACAGAATGAATTTTGTAGCTCATCAATAACCTGCATTATGCAGATAACAGCATTGCTGGCTGAAAGGGAAGAGGACTTGAAGCACTTGTTGCAAAAGATCAAGGAATGCAGCCTTCAGTATGTATTGCATCTCAATGTCAAGAAAACATGTTTCTTACCCTTGACCTAGAGGCAGTATCATGATGGATGAAGAGATTGAAACTGTAAACAACTTTATCTAAATTGGATCCACAATTAACACCCTTGGCACCAGCATTCAGGAAATAAGGAGACTTACTGTACTGGGAAAACTGGCAGTTAGGGACCTCTTCAGATTATTGAGGAGTAATTACTAAGGTGTGGTTTTTCCGATCACTTGCTATGGATCTGAGAGCTGGACAATGAATAGAGATAATAGAAGTATTATTGAAGACTTTGAGCTGTGGTATTGGAAAAGAGCACTGAACATCCCATGGAGCGCCAAAAGAACAAACTATATCTTGGAGAGGATGCAGCTGGAGTGCTTTTTGGAGGCAAGAATGATGAGACTTCACCTCACATGCTTAGGACATGTTGCTAGGAGGGGCTATTCCTTGGAGAAGGACATGATGCTGGGAAAGGTGGAGGTCATCGAAGGAGAGGAAGACCCTCAACCAGGTGGATTGACACAGTGACTGCTGCAGTGGGCTCTTGCATGTCAGGTAGCGTGAGGATGGTGCAGGACAGGACAGGGTTCAGATCTGTTGTTTATAGGGTTGCTGTGAAGACTCCCCTCAACGGCACCTCACAACAACAGCACAGCTTGAAAAGGTTTTGCTTTCGCAACAATTTTATGTTGTTAGTGGTGGTTAGAGTCTATAATTTTAAAATACTGTGCTGTACTGTTGCTTTTGTTGTTAGGTGCCAGTGAGTCATGTACTGCCGCGGGCTGCTCCAGTTGGGAGGGGCTTATAAGCCTGAGGTCTAGGGTCTCGAAGAGGGAACACGAAGGTGGGTAGAAGTTCGGCGAAGGGACAATGAAAGAACACAAGACAGTCAAGTGATCTTGATGATTTTAATTCTAAGTCATTCGAATTCTCCTTCTTTCTTCCTTTTTTCCTTCCTTCCTTTTCCTTTTCCTGCTTATTACATTTAGCATGATACATTTATATTCCATTTTAACAATTAAGGGCTTAATCAACAGCCAGAAAAACAACAAAAGTGAGAATAAAGTTTACATTATTTTCTTGCACACAGCTATTTATGGTCATGGTTCCTTGGAGAGCATGAAAGGCCATTCTTTATGGTCATGGTTCTTTGGTAATTGGAGAGCTTGGTAGACAATGGCTTTTCTCTTAAACATTTTTTTAAACCTGTTCTTCAACCTGCGTGTGTTACAAAGTTACAAAGTAAAAAAGTTACATTTTAAATTTAAGCTGATACATTTTATATTTCTAGCTAAATCTACAATATTATTTATTTCCATTCAAAAGACAACACTTTTACACTTTCCATTATTCTAGGGGTGATTACTATTTCAATAAGGGGGTTTAGATTTATACAAAAGATGTTTTGGGTCATAATAGCGCCTAAATTCATCATTCCAATCTCATGTTTCATGATTTATT